TATACAAATAAAAGGGTAATATGCTAATTAGACCAGGTCAACCAGCCATCTTCTAGACGTCTGACTTCCTTCTGGACAAAGCCATGGTGGTGGGGGCTGAGGCATAGGCAGTTAGGGTAGATCAGGCCAGCAGGGGAGGGCAGTTGGGGGCAAGATCAGATGGCAGGGTGTTAGGGATAATCAGGCCATCAGGAAAGGGCAGTTGGGGGAGAGATCAGGCAGGCAGAAGCAGTTAGAGGGGATCAGGGAGGCTGGCAGAGAGGTTGGGGTGATCAGGAAGGCAGGCAGAGGGCTTAGGAGCAATCAGGCTCAGGCAGATAAATGGTCAGGAGCCAGCGGTCCCAGATTGTGAGAGGGATGTCCGATTGGAGAGAGTGCAGGCTAGGCGGAGGGACCCCCCCCCCAACCCAGTGCATGAATTCCGTGCACCAGGCCACTAGGTAGTTAATAAAACCATATAGCTTTCAAGTGTACAACTCTATAATGCATCATCTGTATACTCCACCATGCACTCACTATCCAAAGTAAAGTCTCTTTTACCACCATTTATCCCCTCTTTGCCCTTTCCCACCTCCCCTACCTCCTTTCTCTCTGGCAAACACAATTCCATTGTCCATGTTTATGCATGTTTTTTTAGCTTTTAATTCCCTCACCTTTTTCACCTAGTCCCACAATCCCTCTCCCCTTTGACTGCTGTCAGTCTGACCTATATATCTATGATTCTGTTTTGATTAATGTCCAAATTAATGTTCCTTCTAAGTCCTACACTTTCTAATCCTCCTTCTAAAACAACGTAAGTACTAAGGTCAGGCCATCTCTGCTTTGAGCAAAGAAGACAATAGGATGTACTCTTGGCTATTCTACCCACTAAGATTTCTTTCCTGAATACTTCTTCAGGGCCACACATCAGTGAGATTACTGCAGTGCCCCTCTGGCCTGTGCAGGCATAACATACTGGGTATTCTGTAGCCCATCCTCCAATATTTTGTTACCAAGAAGTCATAGAGAACTGTCTAGGAGACCACACTTTTGGAGTCAAGAAACACACAGAGCATGCAAAATTATGCATCTTTGTAATGTGATTTAAATACAACAAATAGCAAAGCTCAAGTTTAAATTGTCATTTTCATGTCTTTGAACCAAAATGGTTGCTATTGTGTGGTCAACATAATGTGTAATCTAGGAAAAGATGACTTTTCAGAGATATATTTAGGTAGGCAGGCAGTTGCCATGACAGTTTTTGAAGATAGCAAGTTATCCAGATAAATATCATATAATGCAATATGTAATTTTCAGACGGTGCATGGATTTAGATTCAAGAAATCTAGGATACAATTTTGTTTCCCGAGAGGGTCAGTTCTGGAATGGCAGAATAATGACTCCAAATATATACTCCTCCATAAAAGCCATAACTCCTGGAAACACTTGCAAAATTTAAAAAAAAGAAATTGAAATCAACCTATTTAGAAATTTTGAAATCAACTAATGATCTGCAATGATTTAAAGTGTGCATATTCAAGAAAAATGGCGAAATCTTGATAAAAGCAACAAGTTTGTATTGTATTCTCTTCCTCCCCAATTCTGTGGTAGCCTTAAAACTAACAGCCTGGCAGCTACAACTGCTATAAAAATCAGCTACGTGGAAGCTGCTGTAGAAGACTAAGTGGGACTGGAGTTCCTAGCCCTCCACCCGAAGAATTGTCACTATTTGGCCTGTCTGGAAGCTACTAAAATGCTCCATTTTCAAGAAATGGCTGATTCAGGGCCTGCTCTTTGAAAGCAGCTCTCCTTGGGACATCTGTTAAAAGTAATTATCAGTAATTTTCCATCATCATAGCTGCCTGGCTCATTTACCATTTGGGGCTAATTAGGGGCTGAAAGGAAAAACTGGGGAATGACGTGTTCACAGGGGGCTTTAAAAATTCCAACATATCCCTGGCAATCTAGAAAGCAACATCCACGTGCAGGGCTATGCACATGCTAAGGAGAGACCTGAGAAGGCCCTAATCTTTGACCCCAAATTGACCTTCAGGGCTTGGACAACCAAAAGTGAATACTAAGGCGGACTGATCAACTACTTGCCAGAGCCTTTAGGGTATGGCCCAATGTGCCAAAAATTGCAGGCTCAGCTGCCTGTGGCAACAAAAGCCAAACTTGTGAGACAGGCTCTTGTGCAAAAGGAAAGAGGTTTTATTCAGGGGCTGTCACCTGGGAGAATGGTGTTCTCCCGAGTCAAAGACCATCTCCCCTTTCTTCTCAAGCCCGTAGTCCTTACAGGGATAATGAAGGGAAGGTTTTTTTTGTTTCTCTTCTATACAATTAACTTGCCAGCTTTTGGTGCATTTGGGCTCTGTCCATTCAACTTTCTAGCTTATGGCATGCTCCTGCCCTATCCTTTCAACTTTCTAGCTTTTGGGGTGCTCAGTGTAAGAACCTCCCCTGTGCCATCTTAGTCACATGGGAGAGAATCCCAGGTGCTCCCTGCCTGTCTATGGTAGTGGGGAGAGGGACTGCAGGACCCACCATCAGGAAGCTTGTAGATGCGGAAGCCCTCAGCCGTCTCTGGACATGTGCCGAACCTCTGGGGGAGCCAGCTGAAATCCAAGCACCCATGTCCTCAGTGCATTCCCCACACAGCCAACCCTTCTGAAGTGTCCAGCCAGGCTTGCACTCTGACTTATGGCTGCCTACGGTAACACTAATAAAGAGCACCCCTCATCAATGTCTGGGAGATTCACTGGTTAAAAGACCTGAGGGAACCTTGGCCAGGTAGCTCAGTTGGTTGGAGCATAATCCCTTACACCAACAGGTCACAGGTTTGATTCTGGTAAAAGCACATCCCTAGCCCTGGCCAGTTTGGCTCAGTGGGTAGAGTGTAGGGTGTAGGCCGGTGGACCAAGGGGTCCCGGGTTTGATTCCAGTCAAAGGCATGTACCTCAGTTTCAGGCTCCTCCCCAGTCCAGGCCCTGTTCAGGGTGTGTGTAGGAGGCAACTAATCAATGTTTTTCTCTCACACCGATGTTTTTCTCTATCTCTCCCTCTCTCTTCCACTCTCTCTAAAATCAATGGAAAAATATCCTCAGGTGAGGATTAAAAAACAAATAAACAAAACCATTTAAAAACACATACGTAGGTTCCATACCCAGTGAGGCATGTATAGAAGGCAACTGATCAATATTTCTTTCTTACATTGATGTCTCTCTCTCTCTCTCTCCCTCTCTCTCTCTCTCTCCCTCTCTCTTTCTCAAAATATCATTAGACATCTTCATGTGAGAAAAAAATAAATAAAAAAGAACTGAAGGAAATCTGTGTTCAATCATTAGTTGACCAGCAGCACTTATGACAAAAATGCATATTCCACAGAATATGTCCAAGAAAGTAACCAAACAAACAGCAAAAATAAAAAACCCTGGAGAAGGAGGAACAATGTAATTTTTAGAGTTGGAACATTATAGTACTTAAAATGTCCAGTTTTCAACAACACTAAAAATTATATCTGCAAAGAGACAGGAAAGTAGGAACCATACACAGAATAAAAGCAGTCAATAGATATTGTCCCAAACACTTTAAATCAGCATTTTAAATTGGTCAATGAACTAAAGAGAACTAAGTCTGAAGAACTAATGCAAAGTATTAGAAAGAGTTCTTAGCAAATAAAAAGTATCAATAAAAAAACAGAAATAATAAACAAGAATCAAATAGAAATTCTGGAGTTGAAACTACAACAGAAATAAAAAGAAATTATTATAGAGTCACAATAGCAGATTTGAACAGGCAGCATCAGTGAATGAAAAGTAAGTCAATTGAGATTACTCTGTTTAAAGAGCTGAGGGAGAAAGAATGAAGAAAAGTGAACAGAACCTCAAAGATGTGTGGAACAGCATCAAGCATACCAACATATGTATAATGGAAGATCCCTAAAGAGAAGAGAGAGAGAAGGAATACTTGAAGAAATACTGGCTGAAACTTCCCACATGTGATGAACAACATCAATCATCACAGCTAAGATTAATGAACTCCAAGTCGGATAGACTCAACGAGATTAATGTGTAAATATATCATAATCAAAGCTTTCAAAGATAATTTTTTAAAGTAGCAAGAAAAAAAAGTGACTCCTCACTTACAAACAATCCTCAGTACTCTCTCCCTCTCTCTCTTCAGAAACCATGGAGTCACTCTCTAACCATGGAGGTTAGAGAGAAGTGGGATAGTATATTAAGAGTATTGAGAGAAAAGAGATTTTAAACCCAAGAATTATATATTCTAAAAAACTATTCTGAAAACCTAAATGAGAAATTAAGACATTCCAAGATAAAACTGAGAATTATTTGCTAACAGACATGCCCTGGGAGTTCTTTAGGTTTTAATAAAAGGAAACTGGATATTAATCCACACAAAATATTTAACTGGTAAAGGTAACTGTATAGGAAAATAAGAGATGATATAAATGTAGGCTTGTTTATAATTCTTCTGTTCAACTATCTGATTTAAAATATATCTGAATAAAATAATATTTTTAAATTGTGTTAATGGGCTTCTAAATGCATAAACATGTAATATGCATGAAAATTATTGTACAAAATGTAGAAAAATTGGAGTTATATTGGAGAAAATTTGATGTACCATTTAAATTAACTTGATATTAATGTGATTTATTTATTTTATTTTTTAATAAAATTATATAGGCTTCAGGTGTATAATTCTATAACACATCATCTGTACATATTAATATGATTTACATATTAATGTGATTTAAATTGTTTTGAATTGATTTAAATTGTTTTGAATTAAGATGTAAACTGTAGTCCCTATGGCAACAACTAAGGAAATGACAAAAACATATACTGAAAGAAACAACTATAGCATTAAAATATAAAATATAATATATAAAAGATTAAAAAATGGTAATTTAAATAATCAGATTAGTAGGACCTGATTTAAATGTCACCAATAATTAACAAAAATGAAATACTCACCTTACTTTGTTGGTATGAACTTATTTAAGCTTAAAAATTTTTTATGTATTTGTACACACGTGTATTTTAATTTAACATGATAATTTCCTTTCTCTAAATGGTTGAGTATTTAAATCTAAAAACAGTGTAAATAATTCTTTAACCATAAAAGTCTTATAAAGTATATTAATAAGCAAAAGTTGACATAATTTAAAATAAATTAAATGTCCATTCAAATGCTTTTGGTTTGTGGCACATGCACATTTGCTTGGAGAAATTATTTTCACAGCATTCCCTTCACATAGGGATTTGTGTGATGTTTGTTTTCACTAAGAAGGAGAAAATTGGAAAGCTATTTCAGAACCTGATTTGATTGCTTTGAAAACAAACAAACAAAAAGTGCTTTTCTTCTTATGGCCTTGGGCTAATTGCTCTTCCTTTCAAAACTCTGTTTTTGGGGTTGATGTATTTTTTCTCTTTATCTATTTTCAAGGAAGATTTAATGGCTTATGTGAAAACTTGTTTAATTTACTTCTTTCTTATGAAAAAGGTTTTCTTCCCTATCTTTTTTTTTTTTGGCCTTACTCTCTGAAGTATCACTTTAGTCTTAGTGTGTTGGGGAATTAATAATGCATGTGACTAATTTTTTTCTGATATTTTTCAAACTTAAGAAATTATACCTAATGATCTGATCTCAGAAATAATATATCCTCATTTCAACTCTGCCTCTGAGGAAAACTATATTATCTCCAGAGAGCCATGATATAACATTATCCATTTATTATCAATTGTTTTACCTATACCAGTGGTTGGCAAACTCATTAGTCAACAGAGCCAAATATCAACAGTACAACGATTGAAATTTCTTTTGAGAGCCAATTTTTTTAAACTTAAACTATATAGGTAGGTGCATTGCTATTAACTTAATTAGGGTACTCCTAAGCTGGCCTTTACTAAAAACATCCTCAATCTGAGTGAGGTACGTTCACTGAGGTTGACCCCTTCCAACTCTCACATCCACACTCAACTCGTGCATGAACCGCACGCTCCTCTCCAGAGCTGCGTTTCCCGTGGCCCGCCTGTGTCTCCTGTGGCCCGACCAACCGACACCCCCCACTTCTTCTAACGCCACTTCTTCAAAATAGACTCACCCAGGCCGAAAACCTACTTCTGCTCATGGGCCATGAAGTTTCAATCGTACTGTACGTGAGTACCCGCACGTGGTATTTTTGTGGAAGAGCCACAATCAAGGGACCAAAGAGTCGCATGTGGCTCGCGAGCCTCAGTTTGCCAACTACTGCCCTATACCATAAAAAGGAAGGAAAATATGTTTCAGATAAAAACACTTTGAGTTAAAAAAAAAACCTTAAGAATTTACATAATTATTTTAATGATGTGAAAATATACCATAGATATGTTCATACCCTCAATAATCGCTGACTAACTTCAATACTTGCTCTTGAAATATTTGAATCTAAGTGATTTCTTATGTTCATTTTCTTACACGAAAATAATAGTTAATGTTAATTGAGTATTTATGCACCAACCACTATTCTAAGTCCTTGGCATATGTCCATTCACTTAATAGTCATAATAACCTATTAATAGGTATTATTGCCCTGACCGGTTTCACTCAGTGGATAGAGCGTCGGCCTGCAGACTGAAGGGTCTCAGATTCTATTCCGGTCAAGGGCATATAACTTGGTTG